AATTTCACACGGAATTGTGCTAACTGTTTGTTTTATTTAGAATGGAAGTATTGTTACCAGTATTAGATGAACTTGTACAATTAAACAATGATAAAATATCGAAACTCGGTGACACAATACTCTTCACTTGTATAAAGTATGAAAAAAATATTTTCATTTGAATTAAATTTATTTGAAATATTCAGTCCATTTGAGGATCTATCTGAACAATCAGTAATAAGACGACTTAGAAAAATGGATACAGATGATGATGATGATGATAATAGTGTAGTAACTGTGTCACGTAATTGTCGACCTATTTTAGAACATAAACTGGTGAGTTATTTACTTTTGTTTTGCTTGTTTCTTTTTTATTACATAAAAAATTATTTAAATAGTTACGAGGAACACTTGTTGTTATTCATGGTGATGTTATATTAGATAGTGAAGTACCAAAACAATGTTTTATACAAGTTTATTATGAAAACCCAGGAAAAGAACATCTAGTCGATTTTTTTGAATGTAAACAATGTTTAAGAAATGGGCAACCATTAAGATGTATGAAGATCAATTTTTAAAATATTTATTGAAAAAAAACGTTTTTTTTTTTTCATTTAGGGATTTGTAAATCTTGTGCATCTGTTTGTCATAAAAGTAAGAAAAAAATTTATTGAAAGAACAATATTGAATTAAAAGGAAATAAAACTTTATTTATTTGTCTATTTCATTTTTTGATGATTAGACCTGTAAGAAGAAGTTTGTTAGCATGAGCATATATTCATTGCTGCTTACCTGAAATAAGAATATCAAAATCTGAAAGTATCTATGAATCATGTGAGAAAAACGTGGTTTTATCATAACCCTATCAAACCAAAGTTTCCAGTTAGAAATCAGTTTTTCTCTTACCACGATATTAATTGAAAAACTACCGTATGAGTGCAACACCTCCACAGCAATAAGCTATGGATTCGAACTATTTTCAGAATATTCATAGCTAATTTCGGTCTGTATGATGTATATAGTCCTAAGTCGAAATTGCATTACTATTCGGAAACGTTTTCTCTTGTAAGATTAATCCCGAAAGTTTCAAAGAGTGAGAATTTATATGAAAATCAAAGAAAATCCTTTACTGTATTTCATTAACTTATATATCATATTAATTATTCATTATTGCAATAAAATACATTAAGCCTTTGAAATATTTTTATATTAACAGATCATGGTGTTACTCCATTAATATTTAACAACAAAGCTAATGGGTAAGATTTAATAATATCATGAAAAATAAAATCATTAATGATCAACTTGTTGTATATTATAGACCGAAATGTGATTGTCGAAAAAAGAATTGTCATATATATCCACGAAATTGACTACTACACACTTTGTTTCTTTTTTAAAATATAATATTGTTTTCCGTCCTTTGTTTCTATGATAATTTTTTTTTTCTATTTATGTCTATAATTCTGATCTAAATATTTTCTTTTCTTGTACATATGTTGATGACGTATGTATACATAAAGAAAAATGAATTTTAACATGAATGTATTCTTTAACGTTAAAGAAAAAAAAAATGGTTACATGAAACAAAAAAAATTGATAGATATAAGAAGCAGATAAATGATATTTTTCTTTACCAAAACAACAATTATATTTTTAAAAAAAAACAAACAAAAATATACACTTTGTCTTCAGCAAAAAAGAAAATGAGAAGTATTCTGTTCAGATTTATGTAATGTACCTATCGGAATGTTAAATGGAAAGAATAGATCTTTGTGACTAGCAGATTCTTAATGAGACGAAAAGGAAGAAAAAGAAGAAAAGAAAAACAAAAAGGCAACACCAATAAAATATTGCAGATAAAAATTTCAATTAAAAATAAAAATAAGAAGTTAACAATTACGATCAGCTTCATCACCAGCAATTTTTCCGATAGCATCTGGATTTTGAATTGGATCAAGTTCAGCAAATAAATTAAACCAATTAGATTTGTCAGTAGGTTTTCCTGTTGTTGTTGTTGTTGTTGGTTTTGGTTTTGAATTGGTTGATGATGTTACTGTTGATTTATTTGTTTTATTTGTTGATGCTAATAATTCACTAAGAAGAGATGATGGAAGAAAATTATTCTTTGATACACCAGTATTATCTTGAGCTGTAGATGTTTGAAAGAGTTGTTGATTTAATAATGTATTATTATTGCCAAATGCTGCTGTCCAATCAGCATCAAAACTATTACTTTCATTTATTCCAAGAAGATCACTATTAATATTATTATTATTATTGTTAGTTTCAGATGATAATGGTGAAAGAAAATCAGAAAAAAATTTTTCTTGTTCAATTGATGAATCAAGTAAATCAACAATATTATCATCACTAATTGATGTACTTGGTGTTGTTTTTGTATTAGCTGCTGCTGTTGCAGCTTGATCTATAGTTGTTAATTTTTCTATTTCAAGAAGTTGATCATCAAGTTGATCATCTGATATGTCAATTAATGCATTTATTGGTTCAATTGGATCAATAGATTCTTCTAAAAATATTTATTTTAAAAATTTTTAAATTTTATTTATTAAATTATCTTACTTTTTTGCATAACATTCGTCGATGTTATTTGTTCTTTTGTTGAATTATCGATGGATTCATCAATATCAATAAGTGCATCATCAGTTTTTGTTGGTGTTTTTTCTTTTTTATCATCTTGTTTAGTTTTATCCATAAATGAACTTGAATTCATTTCAGCTAATAATCGACTTGGTTCAGCAAGATCTTTAATAACAGTAAATTCATAATATTGATAACCTTGAAATGATTCAGCAACAGCTGACATTATCTTTGATGTTTTAGCCCAAAAGCTCAATAAACCTTTTTGATAAGCAGCTAATACATGTGAATACATATTACTATGAAGAACAAATAAAAATATTAAAAGATAATGATATGAGATTGTAATTTTGAGAATATTTATCTTAAAGATTAGAATTATTATTAGACAAAAAAAAAATCGATGTATTTTATTCTTTTATTTCGACTCATAATCGAAAATTCTAAAGAAAACTAATTGACAGAACATTTCTATGGAGTTTTTAAAGTCTAAACAGGAATAAAATTAATTTGTTAATTTGAAGAATTATCTTCTACTTATTCAGACACACAACACATGTTTTCAATGAAATTCAAACTAATGCAAAAAAAAAAAAAACAAAAAACTCAAGATGATGAAGACTCATTATATATCTTCATAAGAGTCATATTGACATAAGTATAAAAGTTTTACATATTCCGCATCTTTTTTTCATTAGTGTTTTATCAAACATGAGAGCGGTACTCGTTTAACGATTAGGTTGACATTCCTCGGAGTTCGTAATTTTTCTCTCATGTATTGTGTATCTATGTTTTCAAAAATAGATGTTCGCTATCTCGACGTTTTAAATTGCTCTTTCGGAACAGGAAATCTGGATGAAATATTGTTTCTCTTTAGTTTGACAAACTTGAAGGAAAAAAGAGTAGTAATTAACGCATGAATATTGCTTTTCTTACTAACCATCGACTAGCTGTAAGTAAATCAATTTTTTGTATAACATCCGATTTTAAACGTTCATATTCAGTTTTCGTTGTTTTTACTTGACTTTGTACTCGACGAAATTTTTCTAATTGTTTGTCAGGATCAAGTTGTACTGATGCATCTTTTAACCATAAAATACTTCCACGATATTCTGTTCTTGCTGTTTCCATACGTTTTACTGTTGCAAATGTATCTGTTACGGCTCGATGACGAAATGTTTCAATTTCATTATGTAAACGTAATAATGGTTGTCGTAAAGTTAAACGTTGTTGTGCTGTATAAGCAAGTACTTTTGATACACTTGCCATCATTTTACCTGCACGAGTATTATCCATTTGTGCATAATCTTTTAAAAATCGAGCCATATCTGTTTCTTCATGAGAAAGAAAAAGAACATTTTTTTGATAATGTTCCATAATCTAAATAAAATAATAATTTGATTAAAAATATGAAAGAAAAAAAAACGATGAAAAATAAATAAATAAATAAATAAACGTACACGAAGTAAATCATGACATGATCGTTTAATTGTATAAAGTAATTCAAGTTTAGCATCAACATCAGCATCCGATGCAATTACAAATTCATCTTCTTCTCGACCAAGTTTTTTAATAACAAGTTGTTTTGTTGTCCAATATTTTGAACGTAATTTACCTAGACTAGTTCGATCTTGATGTTCAGCATATTTATCATATGATAAGTTATTTGAATTTTTATAACTCATTTTTTTTTATATATTACGATTCTTGATTAGAACTAAAAGGTGAATGACGACAAAAAAAAAAAACACCTTGAATCATTCGATTTTTTTTTCTTATTCATAAAAAAAAAAGAAAAAATATTTTTTTTTTTGTTCACACCAATAGAGTATTTTCTTTCGACCTCTATTGAATGGTTTTACAATTGGTTACAGAATCCAAACGAAAAAACACACACGTCACGTAGAATAAAAGACGAATTGGATCTTTCATCGTATTACAAGTATCTTTTTCAAATGTTATTTTGCTTAAAATTTCTGTTAGATATTGAATTTCTTCCGAATAAATAGGATAGAATAAAACAGTAAGTTTTTTCTCTATTCAACAGCACCATTACATATGACCATTCGGGAGGTACTTGATCTAATTAATAAAAAAAAACTGTATTTTATGCAAAAGAATATATGTCAATAAACAATGTTTTATCCACGTTTTCTCTTCCAGAAGAACGACTTAAAGCTTCAAGAAAGTAAACACGTATTCTTGAGGACACAGACACATAGTACATGGTAAAAGAATCACAAACTCCAGAAGGAATTAATCCAATCTTTGGAAGTATGCTGCCCTCATCCATAATACAACACTAGTTAAAAAATAGAGTTATTTGCAAAATGACTTTTGTTTGTGTATTATTAATATAAATCGAGTTTAATTTAATTTTTATTTTAGATTTGTATTTATAATTACAATAAGGAAGAAAAATGAGTCAAGTAGGTCAAGTTGTTGGTATTTTACGTAAACTTAATGATGAATATCAAACGAGTACACCGAAGAAATTGAAATTAATTGATGCATATTTAGTATATGTTTTATTAACTGGGGTTATACAATTTGCTTATTGTCTTCTTGTTGGAACATTTCCATTTAATTCATTTCTTTCGGGTTTTATTTCAACAGTTGGTTGTTTTATTTTGGCTGGTAAGATTTTTGGATAGTGAAAAAATTCTATTAATATTTATTCTTATTTTTTTTTCTTGCAGCAAGTTTACGTATTCAATTAAATAAAGCGAATCAATCAACATTTAATGTATCACCAGAACGAGCATTTGCTGATTTTGTCTTTGCTCATGTTATATTACATTTAGTTGTGATTAATTTTATTGGTTAAAACGAAGTGCAAAGAATAGAATAGACATTTAATAATATATTATCACTATTGGATGTTTCTGTTGTTTTAGCGTCTTTTTTTTTTTCGTAGTTTCATTGTTGATTTTCTTTTTCTTTATTCTCTCTCATTTTTTTTTCATTGACACCCATTATGTTAAATGGAAAATAAAATAAAAAAAGAAGAAATTTTTAAACAAAACTAGTCACTGTTCAATTAATATAATGAATTGCAATAGAATTAGGAAAACGTTGGGAAATGAATTTTGTTCAATTATTAAATTAAACAAATATTTTCATGTAGAAAAGAGATTAATAGTTAATTTCTATTTGATTGCTGTTAAATTATTCATAACAGTAATTGATAATTAATAAAAAAATTAATAAAAAGTAGATCAAATATTTTCGATTTTGAGATTGATATATACTCATTTACCGTTAATAGAAAAGCAGTATGTATATATAAGTAATTTTTTTTTTTTATTTCGAAAAATTAGTGTTGATATTTAAATTTCTTTGACCCTTTTTCAAACATGAAAAGAAAAAAAGAAATCGATGTAAGAATATGTAGTATTTCTTGATTAATAGCTTCAGTAGTAGAGAGAAAGTAAATACGATGATAGAGTTAGTAAAATGAAAAGAAGCTTAAGAAGACTACAAAATTAAAAATGAAAAAGAAAAGTTCAATAGTAGAATGAATACATTAGTGGTTGTTGTAATGTCGGATTCATCGAATAGTACGGCATTTGGAATTGATGATATTGAGGAGTAAATTGAGCTGCATTACCCAGCATCATTTCTTCTTGATATCTTCGGTATTTTTCCATTTGTTGTAAATCTTGTGATAGTTGAGCACGTTGAAGACGACGTGCAATGTCAGCAGGACTTGAAGATACCGGTGGAATAAATGAAACAGGTGATGAGGATTGTGATTGTATCAAATCACGTGAACGCGATCGTCGACGATAATGAGCTGGACTACCAGATCGATATTGATGAAAATATGCAGGTGAACCAGCTCGAGCAAAACGTTCACGAGATCCGGATCGTCCTAAGCCAAATGCAGAACCAATAAAATTTAATGGAGACGAACGTCGAAGACCTCCACCCATATGATATGCCGTCTCTTCATCGAAGTAATTTTCTTGCATTGGCACGTGATATTGGTTAAATATACCTGCCTGTTCATATGGATTTATTGCAGCATACTCTTGTTGCTGTCCTGCTGCTAATGCTGCATATTGTGCTGCTGCTTCAGCACCCATTTGATAGACAATATCGGGTAAGGGTTCGGCATTTGGGTGTCCATAAAAGTGTTTTTTCTTTCGAAAGACACGCATTGAGAGTCAACAAACACTGATGATGAATAAACCTCTTTGTTTTCATGTTATTTATATAATATGAAATCAATCAACCAAATCGAATAGGAGAAATTATTAATTAATGAATGAAAAATAATATGTTATTTTTCTTGTTTATGTAGATTATTTTGAAAGAAAAGCAACCAATTCAAAAACAATGCTTAGTATAATGTCTATATCTATTAAACAAATGCTATATAATTGATCGATCATTTTCGAAGAGAAAAAAAAAAAAAAGAAGGACGACATATTCTGATCCATATTATTGCTAATTAGAAAGTAAATTCATCATTACTTTTTTCTTATTCTATAAATTGATAACTTCATGGACAATTAGTCTATAACTGGCTCTACCAAACCTTATCATAGATGTACACACGTAATTTTTCTTTCTAAATATAAATCAAAATCAATCTTTTGCATCTTCAATGTATACACTAGAGCAAATGATGTAGTAAAATTAGTCATAGGTTTATCAAAAATGAAAATCTTATACGTAAAAAAAAAAACCTAGGCATTTGTATGAGAGCGTCAAATTTTGTTTCGGATGATCACTTGAGACAAGAAAAAGAAAAACGAAAGAATAAGAATCATGGCTGTTATTCAAAAAAATGCTGACAATCGCCAAAAAGTATCATTTCCAAGACGAATAGCAAGTAAGTTTATATTAATTAATACATACATATATTTTCTAGCTCACAAAACAATTATAATTCTTTAAAATTATCAACAAATGATCGTATGAAGACAAATACATGTATAAATATTAAATCACAGACTCAAGATACAGATTGTTCTCAACTTAAGTTTGACACTAACACTTGAAAGATACGCTTCTTTTAATACGATGAATTTTACGATATCGGATCGGTTCATGTATATATACATATATATATATGAGTCTATTTTTATCATTTGGCTGATTTGAGCTGTGCAAGGGCATAGCACATGAACAAAAAGAAGGAATGATGAAGAATAAAAACGAAGAGATCGATCGAACACATAAGCGTACGTGAGGATCGAATTTCCTTTTCTACTCTCTTTCCTTCTTCATTTTGTGCCTATTTGTTCGCAATCGAGGACGGGCGTTCACTTGTTGTGCCGACGAATGAAGTGTGTTGGTATCTAATTCTTACAAACAAAAAAAACCTCGTACCGAACAAGTGAGTAAGCAATGAGAAGCAAAGAATGTGCATATATGTATGCGATATTTGAGTCAATTCAACTAGTTTTAACATTATTGAAAAATGAAGAAGAACAATTCATATAAGTAATATAGATAGATGAGGATAGACGAGTAACCAAAGACTGTACTCTCTTTTTTCTTTCTATACATATATATATATATATATATATATATTAATAAGCGGTTCACTGATAGGGCATTGGCATTGTATTGAAAAGAGAACAGACGAAACACCTGTTTATTTGTCTTTACAACCTTTTTATAGCTTATATTGCATCGATGAATTTTGCTAAAGTATTTCGTCGTCATCATTCAAAAGAATCATCTTCACCTGTTCAAAAATCATCTGAAAGACCATCATTAAATAATTATATTCATGGATATCCTCGTCCATTTTCTTATCATATACCAACAAATGAACAATTATCTCCATCATCATTAACTAAAACATCAAATATAATTCCATATCGTATTGGTTTATCTAGTGATAGTACACTTTTAACGAATGGTCAAACACATGAAAACGATGAAATTGTTCGTTTACCAATAAAACATAGTAGATTACAAAGTCCAAAAATGCGTAAAGATCGTCGTTATCAATCTCAATTAAATGCAAATAAACGATGGTTATTTCGATCAATGGAAACACTTGATGGATGGAAAGAACGAGTATTTCCACAAAAAAATCGTACAACTAAGTTTGTATTATACATAAAAATTAAATAAAATCTTTCATTCAATTTTTTGTAAGTTCTAGTCAATCACGATCACGTAGTGTAGAAAATTTAGCTGATGAAGAAACAATTGAAAATATACTAATAAATCATCATCCATCAAGAATACAACAACAACAACGTGCCACATCACCCAATAGAAATATCGAAGCGATTACAAATCGCATAATCAATAATATTGGTATACAACGAAAATCAACTAATTCAATACCTAATATCGTAAGAAATCCAGCATTAACAATTCAAAAACAATCATTATTGAGTCATTTACCGAATGGCCATAATAATATATCCAAACAATATAATAATGAAACAAATTCTTCAGCTATTCTTGATTTTCGTGAAATATCTTCAGTAGGATTTTTACATTCAAGTAAATATATGAAGAAATTTTAGACTTTTATTTTCTAATTTAATTTTTTATTTATTTATTTAAGGAACACAATTAAATGATGATAATGAAAATATTTCATTAACACCATCAGAAAATATTTTCAGTAGTACGAATAAAAGTGATGATGAAAATGACGAAGATATAAGTAATTTATCATGTCTAACTAATTGTTATGATCATATTAATGATAGTAATAATGAAACACCTGATCCATTGGATTTTAGTATAACATGGCTTGATTCTCTTAAAGAACAAAATACACCACAACGTAAAATTCAATTTTATGAAAATTTAATTAAATTACTTGAACAAGATACATTAAATATTGATGAACTACTTGTTTTACGTAAAATACTTGCAAAAATTTGGCCTACTAATGAAATTATAACAACAGATATTAATAATCAAATATTTTCTATTGAATCAAAAACAAATGCTACACAATCACTTCATAATCCAAATAAAGTTAAACAACGACCAAAATTATCTACAATGACACATCATACAGCTCAACGATGTTCAACTATTTTTGAACAATCACCATTGGTTTATGAAACATTACATGAACAAAATAGTGGTCATGTTAGTAAACCATCATCTTTATTAATCGCTGCTAAAGCTAAGCCTTGTTTTATTAAAAATACTAATGAATCAATATCAAATCAAAAACAAAGTTCTAATATCGAACAAAATTATCCTCAACATCTAAATCCATTCAATGATGAAACAGGTAAATAAAAATATTTAATTAGAAAACACAAAAGAAGAAAAACAAAAAATCATTATACATTTCTTTCATGAATAGATATCACACCATCAACACCATCAAATGAATCTAATCGTAATAATAATAATGATTCAATTCGTCGTTATTTTGAACGACTCACACTTCTTGAAACTATTTATGAAAAATTAAATTTTGAATCAAATAAAACATCATTAGAACCTATTAATCATCATCAACAAATTTCAACACAAGAAAATTTAAATGAGTTATCATCATTACAAAAAAATCGTTCTATTGAAAAAGCAATACAAACAAAAGACGAAATTAAAAATCATTCACATACACAATCATCCAATAAATCTGGTAAAAAAAGATCAAAATCTAAACCTATATATTCATTTAGATTTTTATAGATACAAATAAAACAATTATAAATAAATTCATTGAAATGAATGTTGATGGAACTAGTGTTAGTAGTGGAAAAAGTTCAATTAAAAGACGAGCACCAACTGCTCCACATATATCTTTAAATGATAATAAACGACAGCATCATTCAAATAATTCAGTAAGTAGATGAAATTTTATTAAGTATTATTACTCCTATTGTATAATAAAACTTTTTAAAATAAAGTTACGAAACATTGTTCAAAGAAAATAATAAAAATCTTCAATGTTATAAACTTATGAAATCATTGTATAATCCTTTTATTTTACTCAAGTTTGTTCATATCAAACATTTCTTTTCTAGAACATGTTTACATTATCATCAATGGATCTTAATTTAACACATAAAACTGATCAAGATATAAATAAATCTACTCGATTGAAATCTTATGACGAAAAATTTCCAAAACGAGAAGTAAATTCAAAAGAAAAAACACCACAAGATATAGCTGCTTCATGTGATGATAATGGACATATTTTTGTTTATGATTCTAATTCAAATCAAATTGATAATCATATTAATGAAGAACAAACTAGTAAATAAAAATATCTTTGCTTTGATAAACTATCTTTCTTTTTCATTTCTTTTTTTCAGCTACATTACCAAGACAAACTGAACGTATTCAACAATGGTTATCATCATGTGAAACAAAAGAAGAATTAGATATGCAAAATAATTTATTAACAGTATCACAAAATACTAGTCCAAAAAATCAATTAAAAATGCGTTGTATTACCAAACCAATACGACAACCAAGTACATCACCACAACATTATCATGATAAAAAACTTTCAACCAAAATCAATAATGAATTTTCTGAACCAGGTCGTTTTCGAAGTTGTTTAAAAATTAATCTTGAGAAAAATGAACCTACAAAAAATTATCGAAGTCGAGCATCATCCATTACATTAAAACATAATCAACGACAGAAAACAATTCTTGACGAAAACTTAAACGCTACAGATGACGATGATGAATATTTTGAACGAGATAAATTATCACCTAGTTTTCAATATGATCATCAAGCTGTATTCCTTTAATGTTAGATATTATACTTTTTTTTTTCGTTTGTTCTTGCCTTTGTATATTTATATTTCAATTGACGTTTTTTTCGCAAAAAAAAAATATATGAGTTCATATAGAATTTCTTTTTCTTTATTAAATTTTCATACTAAACGACGACTTTGATTTATCGAAGTTGATTGATGTGATGTATCCGCATCAATTAAAACATTCTCTCCTTTACTGTCTCTTCTTCCTCGTATCAATTACCAACTATCTATAATTGATGTGAATAAATTAAACTATTCGAAAGTATATATCTCCAGTATTAGTCAAGGAAACATTACTTACGTTCATAACTATCTTTTCTTATTAACAACCATGCAACAATCTCAAGCGCCATCATCATCATCGTCTTCATACATGTATCCATCATCTCCAACACCAGGTTTACCTCTTTATGATTCTGGTTATTCATCATATGCTGGTTATTCATCACCATCATCAAGTTCATATCATTATTCAACATGTCCATATTCAAACAACGAATCATTCTATATGCCTTCGGAAACTTGTATGATTAAAATTCGTAATAAAAAAAAAACAATATTCATTCTTATCATTTCAGATTTACCATACTATAGTCCACCATCACAAATAATGCATCAACCTCCACAACCATTTGCTAGTAGTACACCTGTACAATCAAGTAATGTATGTCTTATCCCATCGATTAAGGTAAGGTACGTTTTTTTTTTCACATATTTACATTGAACGCATATAGTCCGTAAGTAATTATTTCGATGATAGAGATTATATTGTGGATTGACTATGAGTTAATCTATATATATTTTTTAGGTTTCGCAAGGAAAACATCCTCCTCAACAACGTCAACCAGCTACGCCATCTCCATCTTTATGTTTAGTAAGTACTTAATTAATTTTCAATTTTTCTGTGACAATTATTGTTTCATTGCATAGGCTCGTAAACGCATCAGCGATGAAGCAATTGAACGTCTTAATGCTTTTTATGCAATAAAAAAACGTCCAACTGAAGCTGAAAAAGATCGTCTTGCTATGGAATGTAATATAACATTAGCACAAGTAAATACATGGTTTAACAATGCACGTTCACGTCGTGGTGATACAAATCCTAAATTAGCACAAAAATTACTTAAACAACAAATTGATTCGTTAAACAATCAAGTCGCTTTTCTGCAACAACAACAACAACAGCAATCATCGTCATCAGAACATAATTCTTTTTGATTTCATTCTTTTTTTTAAAATAAGTTTTGTGTATATTTTATTTCTCTTGTCAAATAAAAAACCTATTTTGATATTAAAAATTCTATTTATCACTTCAATAAAAGCAAATATCTTTTGTTCCATTAATATATTCAATTTGATAATGCATTTGCATAATTCTATAGTATTAGTGTAAATGTTAACAATTGAAGCGATGTGTATGTCTTCATTCTAGGATGGTCATCAGAATAGTAATGTATTAAGATTAGATAGAATGTTGTGATTATGTGTTACTTATGAATATCCGTCTGATAATAAAATATTTTGTACCAATGTGAAGCAGCTGGTAATGCGTGACTTGTCCTATTTGATTTGTACATTTTTCTTTACTTCTTTTGTACAAAGAATATGTTTAGTTGGACAAAAAAATCAGAGATGATCGATCGATTTAATAACTGAGGAAAAGCCCAGGAAGAAATAAGAGTTCCGATACACGTTATACTTTTTTGTCTTTGTTGGTAGTGGTGTTTATGAGATATCGTGCGAGAGCATCACTAGGATACAATAGTTAAATATGATGATAGTAAATATAGTGCCTGAATATATCTGATCGATGAACAGAGATGAGTTTAGATCGACTCTTATCAAATGAAGTGGATTTTTTTTTGTAGCATTAATTTTAGGCCAGATAATAAGACGAAATAGTCTGTTGATGTGTTTTTTTTATCTTTGGTAATAGGTTGGATTAGTTTAGCATTTTAAGTTACGTAAGAATTTTAATAACAGAAAAGCTGTCTTTTTTTTTCGTCGTGAAACAAAAACGAAGTACACGAGTAGTACGTCATTTGATAGAAACCAAACTGAGATATTGAAATCAATTTGTTTGAAAATAAATGAAGCTGGAAAGCAAACTTGTTTTTATATATTATCCTTTTTATACCATATCAGTGAATTCGAGATAAGTATTATATACTAGTAATAATACTATATGTCTACTTATCAGTTCAGCAATGTCGATTGATTTTACGATATTGAAGAACAAAAAAGGAACTTATTTGTGTTTTGTTAGATTTTCTGTACAACATCACAGAGTGTCTTTTCATTTGCAGTGATATTCCTCATGTTTGTTAGGATATTATTCAATAGAATTCATTGCAAAATATTTGAAACCATATTGATACATTTACCATCCTCTCTTATTGTTGTATATGCCTACGAATGACATGCACGATTCGTTTGCATCTTCTTAAAATCAGACATCTGCTCTTCGGATAATGTGTTTAAGTGAATGAATAGAAAAAAATGAAGATAAGACAAAGAAGTTCACTTAAAACTAAGAAGCATATCGTTGTCCTATGACTTATTTAGTCATTCAGGTTTTATACTGTAACTATAAAGCTGTGAATTGTTGAAGATTGTTCGATATAATGCAATGAAAATTGTTCTACAACTATGACTATTGCATCATTTTTTTTTTCATTGTTCATTGACATGATCATCTTTCAGAATTTCAAAGATGTGAGTTCATGTCATTTTTCTATGTAATCGTTTTTCTTTTCTTCGTCTATCAGAAGGAATAGAAGAATGATTGTTCAGTTATTTTAAGTTGTCTAAGTCATCATCTCATATACCCTAATGTCAACTTAGACAGAGAAAGCATGAGGCAAAGACAAAGAATAGATTTGTTAAATTTTCTTTTTTTGTTCTTGAAATTTTGAATAAAATTTTTTCTGTATGTTTTTTAAAACAGAATATTATATTCGACAGTCCCATCATCAATACTCATTGTTAGAGCTTAGTTCTAAATATTCTGATATAGCATAGTCTCATTAATGATTGCATCAATCATTGGCTGTCTTTCAAGGTTTATTTGAATCAGTTTCTTCTCTTGTTTTACTGAGAACTATAATCTGAAGTGCAATAAAAACAAAGAGTTGGAGAATATTTTATTTTATTTTTCTTTATAAATACATTGCAAAGTTGAATTATTTTCAAAAAAATTATCTTTCTAGGTATACAATGATTAAATTAAATCTTCAGTATCATTATTTATTATTCTTATTTTATATTAATTGTATCTCTGGTCAAATATGTCAAAATAATATTGCAGATTTTTTTGTATGTTTACTTTAAAAGAATAATTCTTTGTATTATGTTCTTGTTTTTATTTTCATTTGAGTACAATGTTAATTTTGCTGGGCCATTTTTTGATCAAACAGTATATACAGTACTATCAAATTTTTCTGTATCAACTCCAAATAATACACAAGTATTCAACTTTATTGTTAAGCCTCAAACAATTGACACTCGACCAAGTTTTATTCCAATAACAATTAGTAATCGCGCACGTGATATGACATTAGGCAATATTAGTGTAACATCAAGTCATCCAAGTTTCACTGTTGTTAATTTAGCAAATGATTCTTATGCTCTTCTTACCAATACTTTGTATGTCGTAAAAGTTAATGCTTCTACTATTATCCTTTTTAAAAAGGAATGCCGATGGTTATTCTTTGAATAGCTTTTGATAGGAACGATGAAAGGAGCTCGAGCTTTCATCATGCACAAGAGAACACCGAAAGCCATCGAGGTAAGTCGAGATCCGATAGGTTAGCAATTGAACAACCAAGTGGACTCTCTAGTGAAGTTTTTTCAAAATGAGATTTTTTGAAACCTTTCAAGATTAACTCTCTGACATTGAAAGGATCTAAGGAAAATTCTGAAACGAAAGCCACTATGAAAGTGAAGTTTACATAGATCGAAAGAGAAAACTTTCTACGAATTGACCATAATACACGTCAGAATCTCTTTTTAAAAATCTTCGTTGAAAACTCATCTGATTCGTTTATTACCGAACGATTAAATTTCGACTTACTTCGATGGTTTCGAGTATTCTCTCTAGAATGGGGAACACCCAAGCTCTCTTTGTTGTTTCTATCAAAAGATATTCCAAAAAACAATCACCGGCATACTTTTTCGAAATGGATAATACTAATATACATATATATGCCTTTTTAATTAGTCCTTTGAATTATTTTTCACCTTATAATCGTTATTTATTTCAATTAATTGCAAAACAAACATTTTCTAATCGACCACCAGTAACTTCAATAGCACAAGTTCAAATAAATTTAGAAAATGATAATGTTCATGATCCAATGTTTATTCCTAATAATCAAATATTTTATATAAGTGAAGCAGCTCAACTTGGTACACAATTTGGTACAGTTTATGCTATTGATCTTGATAATGATGAAATAATATATTCCGTACATTGTATACAATTTTGTATTGAATCAACAACAGGTGTTTTACGACTTGAAAAACCATTTGATTCATCATCACAATCCGAATATTTTATTAATGTGACAGCAACAGATAGTGGTTCATCTTGTTCATCACGTCCCTTATGTCGTAAACGAACAAAATCAATCAATATTAGAATTATTGTAACAGCAGTTAATAGAAATTCACCACGATTTATAAATCCATTGTGTGGTAAAAATATATCATTTGATGAAAATAATACAATTGGACAAGAAATTGTTTCATTAATTGTATTCGACAGTGATCGAGGAGAAAATGGATTGATTAATATATCATTTCCATCTGAAGAATTAAGAACAACAGGTAAGATGATTTAATTAATGACATATTGAAATTCAAAAATAAAACTTTTTTTTTACTTAGTAAGTGGTTTAAGAAATACAGCTTATTCTCAGTTTTATATTGAACAATTGGATCAAATTAATACAACTCGTATGGCTGTACTTAGAGCAGATGAAATATTTGATTACGACAAACCAGGTATGACAAAGAGCAAGAACTCACTCACGAGGAAAATCTCCCAAATGATTAATGAATATCCAGAAAAGAATTGGCATCCATATCTTATTGCTGGTATTTCTACTGATAACCACGGTATTATATTGAAAGATAGACTAAAAAAGCAATATGTCAGTAGCTAGAAACCATGGACTCGAGCTCTTTTGGAAGTATTCACCACTCATTATGGTCTACATGATAGTCATAGTTCCAATTTGAAAGTAACTCATCATTCAAAGGACTTGCCTCGTTAGACTATTCGATTAGTTTTCTGTTTATTTTATTGATGGAACACTTGAAATACTTTTGATGAAATACAGTAATCTATTGAGTTCAATATATTGTAAGTCAACTTACAGAATGAATTAAAATTTAAAAATTAGTTCAATTAGCATCTTTCAGCAGTACTGCTAAAAACTTATGCCATCGAACCTATTTTCAAGAAAATATGTTTGATACAGCCTACTTCGACTTAAAAAATAAAATATGACTTAACTATCAACAAAATGAAATCCTATTAAGATTGGATGAAAAAATGTCAGAACGGATTAAAGAGTATGTAACAATTCTTTTTTACATAAAGCGACTTTTTTTAGCCAGAGAACAGATCACATTTCTATCGATTGATGATATCTAGGCAAAATCATTCGTTACCTTCGAAAAATAAAAATACGTGTACCTCGAGATAATCAACTTTTCTAGAGCTAATATTTATATGTTAAGTTACCCGAGATAACCTGAAAAAATCAGTGCCAAAGATCTTTATTGAGAGAAGTTATCATTATAAAGCTAACATTAAAAAAGACATCGACATTCCTTTCATGGATTTTAGCTTGAAAAATTTCGAATTAAGGTAACGTTTTTTGAAGACTGAATATAGCAAAAATTTCAGGAATTACAATATTTCTATCTGAAGTTTATTTTTTTATAAAAAAAAATTTTTTTTTTTTCTTATAGGTGCTACTCGAGTTTGGTATTTATTTATATTAGCTAACGATAACGGCAAACCTCAAAGACAAGGTAAATATCATATTTGAAATCTTGTTATGTTTGTATTATTTTTAATCTTTTAGCATTTTGTAGTTTACGTATTAATTTACATGACGTCAATGATAATGCACCAGGTAAAGTTAAAAAACAATGAATTAAATATTTCATTTTAATTTAAACTATTTAGTATTCATAATGACATCATGGAATTATATAATATATCGTTCATCTATGAATAAAACAAATACTCGTTTTTTACGTATAATTGCATCGGATGCTGATTCGGGTTTAAACGGTATGATTAATTATTATATCGGAACAGCTCATGTTCCATACTTTTCAATAATTCGTACAACAGGAACAATTATACTTCGTAGTGATATTTTCGGAATATCTTATTTAAATATGAGCTATTTTCCAATAACATTTTATGTTTATGCGCAAGATCGTGGTACACCACCATTAATGAGTAAAAATAATGCAACGGTAACTATTTATTTGAATGATAGTGATGATCCTCCAGCAGCACGATGGCTGGATACACGTTATGAAGAATTAAATATTTCGATAACAGAAAAATTTTATGAAAATTATCGAAATCAACCAATATTTGATTATAATTATGGATTTAATGGATCTATTATATATGAATTAACATCACAAACATCATCTATTATGACAGTCAGTAGTCCATTTCTTGATAATACAAATATACCATTTCGTGATATACCTGTTGTAAGAAACGGACGAATATTTAGAAGTGGTATTACTGTAACTAGGTAAGAATTTATGTATTTCGATGATGCAAAGCTCGAGCTTGCCCAGCTGTGTATTATCAGTATAAATAATGAGTATGGAGTTTGATTATACCATATCTATTTGATACCAATTGACTGTATATAACGAGAGTAAGTTCATTCTCTCTTGATTAACTGAAAGTATATTAGTTAAAAAATTGTTTCCAAAAAATAGAGAAAGTAATAATTCATTTGTTTTGCTAGATTGAACGAAAAGGCATAGTTTTGTATACTCATACTTTAGATTATTGTTCATTGTATTTCTGTGTGAAAGGCATATCATAATTCAGAAAAAGCGAAATTCATCTAAAATTATCTTAGTTATTGTCGGATTAGAGAATAAAACACAATGCAGCAGATTTGAATATCAATAAAAAAGTTTTAGGAAAATCTTTCAACATTTTTTTTTTATAAACTTTATTCATATCTAATGATAAGATGTTAAATGTAATTGTGTTATTTGTGTATTTAAAACAAGAATAAACAAGATATGAGCATAAGTATTTTTTATGAGCAAATTTACTATTAATACAATAACAGATAGTATAAGAAATAACAGTCATAAGTTTTTAAAAACAAATAAAACAAAAAAAATTTACCCAAAATATCAACAGTGATGGAATTCCGTGAGTTCTGAACTCGTGCAAATGTAACTTCACTGTGAGTGATTAAAATACATAGAAAATATTATGGAAATATTTAGTGGTCTACATTCGGGGATATAGATACGATTGTTAGTGTACTTATTAATGTGTCTAATGCTGAAATGAAGATAGAAATCTACAAACCAATTAAAAACTCATGTCACATATACACCCTAATTTCTTTCATTCCTGCTAAGCAATAGTTGATAATATCTTATTTTTAACAAATATCTGAATTTCAAATTCCTTCAAAGTTCAGAACATATGGAATCGAAAACGTTTTCAGAAAAAAAAACTTCTCGAGATACTGTTTATAAATCATTGCAAAACAGTTTTTATATATTGTACATCTATGATATAGTGGTCTTCATGCTGAAATTCAAAACGTTTATTTACTTTATATTCGTGTACTTGTTAATCCCCCATTAATTGGTTCAATAATAATAAGATTAAAAGATGAAAATGATCAAATTCCAACATTTGATATACGTTCAATTGTTTTAAGTGTTATTGAAAAAGAATATGGAAATCGTATAATTGCACAAATTCAAGCATTTGATCGTGATATTGATTATCAAAATAGTTATGTTCAATATCGTTTAAATGAACGTTTAAGTGATAATGAAGCTCTTGGCAATTTTCATGTTGAACAGGATGGTACAATATGGACAAATACTATATTTGGAGAACAAACTAATAAAACATTTTATCGATTATTTATAACAGCATATAATGATGTACCAGCATGGAATTCACCAACACAAAATTCACAAGATTTTCAGCTTGATATTCAAGTCATAAGTATTAATGATAAACGACCAGGTAATTTTTTTCGAATATCGATAAAAAAAAATAATTGTTTATTTAGTTTTTAATAATGGATTAACATTGATAAGTATTTTAATAAATGAAACATCAATTAATGGAACTAATATTCTTAATATAACAATAGTTGATTTAGATATTAATACAAATCTTAATTTGGGAATATTAAATGGAAATTTTCGAAATACTTTTATTTTTACTTTATTATCAGATAATTCATATAATTTAACACGTACACAATATGAAGCTATAGGACAACTAATAGTTATTGGTCCATTAGATTATGAATTAATATCAGATTATAAACTTGTTTTATTTGCATTTGATACAAAAAATATAGCAACAATTAATGTAACAGTTAAGTTACAACCACAAAATACAAAAGCTCCTTATTTTGATATCATGCCTGGTTCTACTTCTTATCAATATCAAGTCTTTGAAGAAACTCCATGTCCAATACTCGATGAATCTTGTGTAAGCTATTCTACGCGTATGCTTGAGAACTTTTCAATTGAATAGATAATGTTAGTTTTTCGAGATTATTAGATATTTATATGTCAAGACTTGAGATTAATCTTACGAGTGTTTTCATATACATAAAACAAAAAATTTCAAAAATAAAACATTTAACAGATATATCATTATTTGAAAATTATTAACAAATAAAAAACTTGAATCCTTCGAAAATTACCTTTTACTTAATCTTCCGCTTACACTTCTTTTTGATAAATTCTTACATAGAATACAATAAATGAATCAAAGAAAATGCTTGCCATATTTATGAACGATGATTTTTAGTATATTTCAATCTCATTGATTTCATCATGATTAAATGAATTTTCTGTTTAAATATACTCTTTCAATTATTTTAACGAAATTGGAGATCGTTTCTCAAATTTACAGATAAAATCAGTCACTTCTGCTTGATACTAGACTTAGAGAATTTGTGATTTTTCTCAGGATAGTACATAATTTTCATAATTTGTCATGTAATGTCGTCATGCTGAAACTCGCTGAAGTATCAACACAACATGAAAAGTTTCTTAATTTAGATCCAGTTTAGGGTTTCTTTCTGATTTCGTATCATTGGTTACAACTGACAAATCGCTTCTTTTGCCATTAGTTCCTATTCGCTCAGAACGCAATATGTATAATGATGGAGAGCGTAGTTCAGCTCAGAGTAGGCTGAGTATACCCCCGGCTTCTCCATTAAAGACACATTAAAAAATATAGTTTTCCACAAACATCTATTTTTATTTTTATTTTTGTGTTCATGTCGCTGTTGAATGTACTGAAATATAGTTTATGTGCTAAACTAGGCTCTTAGATATTTTTAATCGATGAAAAGGAGAAAATTGTTTTCTTCGCAGCTAATGCAGGCTTTGTCTATTCTGATATGTAACTGATCGGTCGCTACGAATACTTAATCGCTAAAGCTAATCCGGTATTAACAGGATCAACTGCCAGTAAGTCTTACTTTTTGTTTTTTGCTATGGACATGAACATTAAGCATAAAAATTTAACAATTGTTCATCATTTTCTTTTAGTAAATATAACTTTATTTGAAATCAAATTTAAGGCATTTCTTATTTCATACGATTTCCATATACTGCTTAGCCACATGTTCTTTCATTTCAGAAAAGAAAAGGTGTTAGACTGATTCTTGTAGAATTAAAATATGAAACAGAATGTAGCTGTCTTTGCTACTCTCACAGAGCAATTGTTTTATTCTATCTATTTTATTACATACAGCTCCAATTTTCTTTTACTTAATGCTCTAAAAATACAATAAGACAGCAGTTTACACATTGAAACAAGAAGTTATCGATATATTACTTCTTTCTTTAGATTCAAGCAATTGATCCTGATTATCCAAAATCGCATCTTCATTATGAAATCTATGATACTAATTATCGATTAAATTTAAATAATCTATTTCTAACTCAATCAAATAATTGTGTGTCAATAGGTATTAAATCGCCTGGTCTTTCTCGTGATTTACCATTTGGTGATTCTGTATATAATTTTGCAATACGTGTTATTGATGAAGATGGATTAGGCGTGTCAAGTTATATACCAGTTAGTATTAAAGTAATTGATGTAAATAATAAAGCACCAATGCCAACGGTAAATTTACATTTTTATAATTGAATAATATTTTCTTGTTTTTTTTTTTGTTGATTAAGAATTTTCCATGGATTTTCAAACAAGGTATCAATCCAAGTATTGAAGTTATATTCAAAGATTACGATGATCCAAAAGAAAATAATACAATTCCTTATACAGTTAAAATTGTTCATCCGTCAAATTTTAAACTTATTGGTCCAACAATAAACTTCAATGGATCTTATAAATTGATATATAATGGTATGTTAAATCGTACATTAACAAAGAATTTAACTGTTACATTCCATACAAGTGATCATAAAGGTTTTTCTAAAATAACAACAATTCCAATTATAATACGTGATGAATTAAATATATATCCAATATCGAATGCTTCTAAAACCATCAAAATTATTTATGTAAATGATTATCAAAATTCATTACGTAATATTGATCTTGGTTCAATTTATGTTAATGATTTAAATGATTGGTTTCATTCTAATAGAATTTATTCAGTAAGATATGTTAGTAATGGACAAATATTTAATGTTTCAAATGGTTTTTTACGTACATCAGAAGCATTATATCCGGGATCTTATACAATACATGTTGAAGTTACAAAACCTAATGTAAAATTATCAGCTTTTAGTAAAATTTATCTTGAAGTAGAAACTATTAATAGTGAATATGTTCGAGAAGCATCAACCATTCGTATTCAAGGTAAACAAAATCTTAAAAAAACAACCCATCAAGTACATAAGATACTCGATAGAAGAAAATTTTCGTTTTTCTGTGCACTCAGTGTATTATTGTCTGAAACTATTAACCTCAAAGTTTTAGCGTTCAATACTCTTTCTTTTAAAACTTAGTCCAGACACACTTTTAATCTCTATTACATCCTTATCAAAAAAAATATATATATATTCTGTAAATGTTATGTTCGTTTTCGCTTGAATAAATCATTCAGATTTTCTGATGAGGTTCAGTAAAAGATAAAGAATTAAAAACGGAACAAAATGATCTATATCAGTATAATGTAATGTTGATGGATTCAACTTTAATAAAGTGAACATAAATGAAAAATGACTCTTTCGCTGTCCATTTGATAATAATCAATCTCTTCGCAAGATTCAGAATTAAAGAGTTCCAAGAAAAATTTTATATATATTAATCAACGTTGTATTCTCTAAAGAATTGTATCTTCGGAATGAAACACTATTCATATTTCTCTCTTTAAGATAATAGCTTTGATTATTTTTGAATGGTTTTTTTTTTAATTATTTTGTAGTGAATAAAAACTTGCATAACATGTACAAAATTTAGCTTGGAACTTTGGAATTCTGAATCCCGATAGGAGATTAATTGTTATGAAACAAACATCGAAAGAATCAGTTTTTATTCATGTTGATCTTATTAAACTTCAATCGGTCAACATCACATTATATTGAAATAGACCATTGTGTTCAGTGTTTAATTCGCTATCTTTTATTACAATGTATAAAAAACTTTGAATGATTTGTTAAAACGACAATCAGCACAACTTTTACAGGATAGCTTTTTCTGTTTTTTTTTTTCTCATAAGGATATGTTCATGATAAAAAGTCGGTATTGACTGAATTTTGAAAAAAGGGTATTAGATGATAAAATTTTGAATTTAGTAGTTTTAGACACCGATGTATTGAATGTATCAAAAAAACTGCTTTTATCGAATGTCTTATGATGGCTTTCTTAATTTATATAAAAATTTATGTCATTATTTAGGTGAATATCCTGAAACATTAATTGATCCAACACTTGGTTATCCTCTTAATAAACTTCAAAATGCACTTGTATCATTATTATCTGTTACAATCAATTCAATAAAAATACTTGCAATTCGTCCTGTTTTTCAATATCGAAGTTCATATTATCCACCAAAAACTTTCGAACTTGACAAAAATGAAACATTAATTGATGTTATATTTTATGTACCAAATTTTAATAAGTTCGAAGTTGAATATATTCTCAATGCAAATCTTAATTTATTTGAATCACGCTTTAAAATAAAAGCTATAGCTAGTGGACCAAATCCTTGTAACAATTATGTTTGTCCTACGGGTAAAAAAGAATTTTTATTCTTGGTTTATTTATTCTTTTGTTAAACACGGTTTGAAAAAAATCATCGTCGACACACATCTAGTTATATAGATTGAATTTCGATTTTTCTTCGTAACAGTAACTAGATAAAGTATCTTAATAGTGATTTGGATAGAGAATTTTGTTTATAATAAAGACTTGAGAAAAATGAAATCTTCATTGTATATGAAAAATCTATTACTAAGTTTCGTTATTTATAATCGAAATAGTTTCATCATTTTTCAAAATTTTAATCTTATAGAAATTAATCTAAAACTTTTCTTTTTTTTTGTTTTGTTTATTAAGGTACAAGTTGTCGACCAACACGAACAATTCATCCAAAACCTTCTACTATTGATACAAATTTAACATCGTTCGTTGGTATTAATATTCTTGATTCAGCTGATTGTATAAATTCTACTTATACTGTTAATTTAATAAATAAACCAAATGAATGTATTACTTCTACATTTAATAATTTAACATATTGTTCATCGATATCATTATTATCTTATGGTACAATAGGACCATGTTGTGAAATACTTGGACGAACATTTAATGAAAATGGTGATGGATATGCAATATATGCTGGTACAAGATTTTCTAATATAGCTCCAGCACGTTTTTCATTTGATTTTATTCTACGATCACCAATAATTGATGGTTTAATTTTATTATATGGACGAAATTTACCACCAATAAATGATTTTTTTTGGATAGCTATTGAAATTTATCAAACAAAATTAAAATTTCATTTTCGAAATACAAAAATTCATACAGATAAAACTATATTGAATCCATTAACATGGTATCATGTTGAATGCCAGGTTAATTTATTTTTTCGAAAGAATAAAATATTCTTTAGTTTATTTTTTTTAGTTTATTGATTCCATGGTTCTTCTATCAGTGAATGATTGTCAATATGGTTTATATTTAGTAAATAATACTTTAAATACATATAATCTATCAACTGTTAAATTATATCTTGGTGGTTTACCTATGACTGATTCACTTTTATCAAGTCTTTATTCATCATTACCATCAATAAATACATTTAATGGTTGTATACGTAATGTTTTATCAAATGGTTATTATCTTGATATGTCTAAAGATTTATCATCAGCTAATTCAAATTATGGTGAATGTCCATGTTCAATTACAAATTCATGTATTACAAAAGAACATGTTATAGATATTATTATACCTTGGTACACGTGGTTAATTCTTGTACTTGTTTTATTATTATTAGCCACAATATTTTCAATAGTTTTATTGATACTTACAAGAAAAAGAAAACAATTGAAAACATTAACAGGTTTATATATGCATGATACAAGAGATGATATTATTAGTTATAAGTAAGATAATAGTACAACTTTTATTTTTGATAAGAGTTATTTTTCTCAATAAATTCTTTTAACATAGACATGTAAAATTATTTAACTCTTCCAGCTGACTATCAATAAAGCAAAAAAAGTGATTAGCGAATATCTCTTTAACTATATGAGAAATTCATTTGAACACTTAAGCATGGACTCTATGACATGAATTGTATCTATAATGAAATTTTCCATAAGATTATTCTCCAAAAAGTTTCATCTGATCAATGTCATAGAAATCCTCAAAAGTTCCGAAACAATAATATTTGTCTTGTCATTATTTAGGTATTCTGAAAAAGAAAAGAATTGTACCGTTTGAAATTTGCATTCAGTTATCAAAGCATTTTTTCATACTCCATTATTTCGATAACGAAAAGTACATCGATGTTTTTTTTGGAAAATCTAAACATCCTCACAAAAAAAAAGTTTGCATAGGAAATTTTTTGCCTCAGGAATCATTTACATTTAATTTTCAAAAATACAACTTTAATTCATTTTTTTCTTAAATAAAATGCACGAAGTGAAAGTCTTTAGAGTAATTTAATATACATTTAACATAAAAATGAAGTCATTTTCGTTTTACGATTCAATGATAAATTGATATTAATCTTTATCTGTCTACTATTGAAAAATTTTCAATCAATGCTCATTAATTTCTTTAAATAGAATGTCATGATTAAATAGCTTGATTATTATTTGGAAATTACTTTTGTTTTTTTTTATTTTGATATGCTTATCAATGAGTGAGAATGACTTTTAATTATATGCTTTTTATTTAATATTAAATTTTCAAGTATTCAGAGTTAACTCTTGCTAATTAGTTGAAATACTGCAGGAATATAGACAAGAATTCTTTGAATGTTAAAGTGCACATAATGCAAAAATTGAATAAATCATTTTTCTTGCTCCTTCTTATACCATTTTATAGAGCATAAAAATTTCATCAAAGATATATTATTTTCGAATCTATTGGTCGATGTTTGATCAATACAAAAACAAAAGATTAGGAAAGTAAGAAGCAATATCTAAAACAACGAGTTTTCGTCATAAATTTTCAAGTGTTTTGTTATTCACATAATGAAAGTATTGCCCGACATGCATCTATCGAATAAAACTTCTCAATTACATTATTTGTGCTATTTATAGATAATATTGTAAAGTTCTCTAGGTTTTTTTTTATATTAAGAGATAAGATCAAGTCTCATGTCTCTTGAGAATCACTAGGTATTGATATTCGAACGTATCCTATTATATCTGTACATGCTCAGACATAATTTTTTGAAAATTTATCCTGTAGCCTTCCAGAAGGATAATTCTGATCGAAAACGTATCTGGTTAAAAAATTTGATTCGTTCTAGTTTTTTTTTACGCTGATTTCGAATATTTTTTCTGTTTTCTATATCATGAAAAAATTAAGTAAACATGTGCATATTTTTTTTTCAGAATTTTAATATATAACTAGCTAGAAAGATCGAAAGCATGTAACTTTCTCAACAATAAAACAAAATCTAGAAAAAATAATAGCATCAATTTGAAACTCAATATCTAATCATTCAAATAAGATATGATACTTGATTCTATCTCTTAATATGAAAAAACTAAAAAGATATATAAGATTGTCTATGAATACTACAAAAACGTGTTTTGGTAGTCGTATTCAATATATCGATGTTGAATAATACTTTCATTATGTAAGCAACAAAAAAACTTGAAAATTTCCTATGAAAACTTATTTGTTTTAAAGCTGTATTTCGTATTTTCTTAAAACATGAAGCAATAATATAATTCCAATTAAATTTTCATGCTCTATCGAATCATACGTAAAGAAGCTTGAGAAAGAAACTTATTCGATTATATCTCTATGTATACTTTACAAAATTTCGCTTGTTTTTTTTTTCTAATTATAAAACATAATCTATTCAAACATTTCACATTTTCTAGATATATCTGTTTAATAAATGTCTTTTTTCTTTTTTTAGAGACACTGCCGGCGAAGAAGATCATTCGAGATATAACCTACGTGTATTAAAAAGACCAATATATGATTTACAAGATAGTAATATTATATCCCATAATAGCATATCAAGTATAAATAATCTAGATAAATTTATTATTGAATAATATTTTTATATTTATTTTTTTAAGGTTATCACGCTTCAAGGGTTTATCTTCGACCATCACTTAGTGATTATATTGAGAAAAAACTTGATGAACAAGTTATATCATATGCAAATGATACAAAATTACATTATCAATATGAAGGTGAAGGTTCTATAGCATCAGATTTAAGTTCTATGGAATCTTTATCTTTACAAGATGAAAATGATTATAGATTTTTGTATTCATTGGGACTAAAATTTTCACCTTTAGAAGATCGATATTCTGATCACGTTCAGAATAATAATAATAATAATACTTAGAAAAAAAAAAAAACTAAACTTGTATAATTGTGTTTTTTTTTCCTTAAGCAGTATATAGATATTAGTTTTCATTTCCTATCACCTATGAATAACTCGTTTATCTTCATATCTTGAAATTTTTATGCATATTTTTATTTAATTTCTATATTTTTTACAATTATGTTTATATTTGCGCGAAAGAATATAAACCATCAAAAAAGAAAGAAAAAAAAAATGAAACGAAAGAAATGAAGCGCGACCGAATAAGTTTATCTGATCGTAAATTATATGGATATTTAAAAATAAATGAAAAAATAAAACTAAAATTTTTATTCTCAAAAACCATATGTTGGAATAAGCATTGATATTCGTTGTTGAACAAATTTATAGTCAGGATATTTTCGAAATAACCGATCTTCAGTCATTGGAATTGATCCATATATCATCATTAATGTTATTAGTAATGGACCAAGTCCACACCACAATGGTGCATTATAAGTATAGCCAAGAAAAAATAAACCCCACCAAAATATAATTTCACCGAGATAATTTGGATGTCGACTATATTTCCAGAGACCATTTGATAAAACTGCAAATCTATGTTCCTTTGATGTTTGCTTATGACGTCGAAATGCTGTTAATTGTGTATCAGCAATATTTTCTAATAAAACACCGGAAAAAATAATTAACAATAATAATATATCCATTATTGTCAAACTTTCATATATATGAATATTAGTATAGATGTAATATATCGATGATGAACCAATTAATACTTCAAACATTGGCAATAAATATAAAGCAAAAAATGCAAATACTAAAAAATTATCCTTATATTGTTGTCTCATCATTTCATAACGCCAATCTTCGTTCTTAATATTATTTGATGACAATAGTGTTTGCCATATTAAATGGAATGACCATAGAAATATCAGAAGAATAAGTGGAAGACATTTCATTGATAAAAATTCAAATGAATTTAATGTAAAATTAAAATAAAAAGAACAAATCAATGGAACTAAAGGCCAATGAAGATCCTGAAGATTATTCCATGAAAAAAAATGATTACCAATAAAAAATAAAATACATGTTATGCAAAAATCAATAACATAAGTACGACATAATGGTGAAGAAATAAATGAAAGTAAAATAAAATGTAAAATAATTGATAATAAAAATAATATAGAATAAACAGTAAAATAAACGACTGAAGTTGATGATGGTAGTTTCATATTTCTTCAAAAAAAAACAATAACACACAAATATTTCAAAAAAAAAAAATTTATATGGGTGTGTGTATGTCACAGCATGAAGCTGTTTTTAACTTACACGGTGAAATAAAAAAAAGAAAGAATAACGATAACAACACATAAAACTAAAAAAGAACGGTCGGGAAGAAAGAAAAAAAAAGACATGATTCGTTGTTTCTTTCGTTCGTCAATAACAACCATGGCTCACCTTGGCAACATTTTAGTTACAGACACAGCATTAGTGCATTACCATTCAAAAGAAAAAAAAAGATTGAATACTTAGGGAAAAAAATTCTATCATGGATTCTGATGATCGACTTGATACTTTTCGTCAATCCAATACCATGTCATCAATGGAACAAACTTTGACAGCACCATTGAATAATACAATTGACTTTCTTGTAATAATTATCAATAATTAAACTCGATTTATCATTTCTTGTTTTTTGTTCTTTTTTTTTTCTTCAGGGACCTGGAAATGACCTTGGCCAAACAACCGTCAACTACGAACAAATATTAGATGAATCTTCTCGAGAACGTAAATTATTCATTATTTAATATAATTAAACTTTTTTTTGTTTCTCTTTTTTCATACAATTATTAGCATTTATTTTATTATAATAACAACAATAAGAACTATCAAGATAAACAAAATGTGAAACATTGCAGCTGTCGAAGCTAAAATTGCCTCTTCATGGCATCGAGACATTATTGAGATAATGCATGCAAATATAGACAGATGTTACTCTAAACGAATCGAATGCATCTTATAACGTCAAGAAATCTGATTCGAATATTTATATTAACCAAGATAGAATTTCAATATACAACAAAATCAGAATAATTAAAAAAGATTATATAGTGAATTATTAGGATGTAAAAAAAGAAAGATTTTCTAACACATCAACATATAGAAAAAACAATTTTTATGAATATATTATAACCAATTCACCTTTGTTTTTTTTTTGATCTTGCAATCATTTAATCCATGACATGAAAAAAAAATGTTTATTTTAGTATTTGAATTCTAATTCTTTTTTTTATCTTGTTTATATTCTAGTACTTAAATATGGTTTTAAAAAAGTGGCGAAAAAAAATGATTATATTCGTATAGAAGAAATCGGTGACGCATTTCGTCATTCAGGTCAAAACCCCACGGAAGATATTATTAAAGATATGATTGAAAAAGCAAAAACACTTAAAACATCAATTCCTCGTGACGAAGACGACGGTTCGTATATATATATAGCTTTTAAAATTCGTAAAAGTGTGAATAGAATAAAAAATATTTAAGTGTCGTTCGATATTTGTTGATTTTTTGCTTGTATTTGAATTCTCTGAAATGTTTATATTTTATTGAAATAATATTGTTATTTATCATAATATAGATGGACCACCGGATGATCATTTATCATTTGCTGATTTTTTGACAGTTGTTCATGAAAATTGGATAGCATCTGAAGATGATAAACAACAATTACAAGACGCATTTGATATACTTGATCCACAAAACAAATCAAAATTGATGGTTGATGAATTTGTATATTTACTTAAAAATTGTGATTGGTCTGAGGAGGAAATTCAATTACTTTTATCACAAGTTAGCTGTGCTGATGGTTATTTTCTTCATGATGGTAAACAATAATTATCTATTATTTGTTGTTAATATTAATTTTTTGTTTATTTCTATAGATTTACAAAAATTACTTTTGACACCAGTTGAATTACCAAAGAAAAAATCAGGAAAAACAAAAAAGAAAAAATAACTTGTTTTTTTTTTCTTGTACAAATATGCTTGCTAATTTTTTTCTATAAATATGTATGAATTTATTCGTTTTATTTTTTTTTATCTGCTTAGTTATGATATTTTGTACTTTGTTTTCTTTTTTTTTGGGAGGGGAAGAAGGAAGGGAGAGGAAGGAGAGGCGATAGTTATCTTATAGATTTCGTAATTCTTCATCGATCTTCATCAATTATATCAGCAGAGTTTTTTTTCTTATTTTTTTTCTTCTGGTACATTTGTTCCCTGGCTATTATAGATTTTTTTACCAGTCGTTTCTGTCCTTGTCGTTAGTCGCTGGAAAGAAGCGTATAAACGAAGAAGACAATCTTAATAGAAAACATCTGACGGTCTTGTGCGAACTGTTTTACAAGACAGTCTTCTATCATACAGATATACAGAAAAAGAACGTTTGCTTTTTATCCAACAAGATGATTTGTACTGAAGTAACAACGATTAGAACATTTCCTATTTCTTGCCATAAGAATATTGTTCCTTTTCTTCTTGTCTTTATGTCATCGAGGGGAAAAGAATTGTCAGCCGCAAAGCAACGTCAAGACTTCTATATGTATATATTTTTTTCTTATGCACCCACGACTTGATAATAATAATAATGAATAATGATACCCTGGATTCTCTTTGATAAATATACGATGTACAGCTGCTCTAAAGAGAAATAAATTTGAACTGTAATAGTACATTAAAACAAACGAAACTGTCTAGCATAAATTTTTAAGTGTGCATTTAGAAAAGGCGAAGTAACGCTCGAATAGAGAATGGGTAACGCAAAATAAAAAAAATATATAAACGCTCAAAAAACAATAACAACAACAAGTACAGTTACGAATAACGGTCTTTCTTTTAATTTATGTGTGCATCTATGCATACGCAAGTGCATAATATTCGTCTCTTGTTGTTTTCTTTTGTATTTCGTTTTAACCCTTTTTGTTTTTTCTTGTATGTGTGTATGTGTTTTTTTTAAGGCTTCTATTTCGTTGGCGTTCTTGTGCCGACCTGTAGCTTGTTTTTTGTTGCTGGTGCGGTCACAGACAGCGAATAGCAAAAACGAAGCGACGAAGCAATTGTGAAAAAAAACACAAAACGCACCGCGAGAAGCAGAAAGAGCAATGAAAAAAAAGAAGAAAAAGAGAAAAACTAAAAATGTGTTCGGTATCTGTACAGGAAAAAAGAACCTCTTCCTTTCTCTCGTTTTGTCTGTCTGTCTTTCCTTCATTCGTTCTACGGTTTTTTTTTGCGCTGTCGAATACTCGCTTCGTCGGGTGTTTTGCTGTGCGTCTCTCTCTCCTCTTTCTCCTTTCTTGTGGTTGCCCTCTTGTGGTTGTTTTCTTTTTTCTCCCTCTCTCTCACTCTCTCGTGCGACCGACTTTGCGTCCCATCTTCTTCGATTGGGAAGCGCTGGTGTGTTTCTAGAGTCTCTGATGGATGTCAACGGCCCAAAGAAATCACCACAGCAGCCTTTTCGCAGTCTGTTGCCGTTACGTTTTACTTGTCACAGTCGTTACGGCGACCAGTCGGAACGCCTATAATTTTCTGAGTGAGCCGGTGTGCTTGAAATGCATTTCGACATCTTTATGGTGTTCGTCTCTATTGCTACTACTGTTCTTTGTTCGTTACCGTCATCCTTGTCAAACTCGATCATTACTCAAACTAGCTCAATAATAACGACAAGTAAGTGTTATTCTTTATTAAATTAAATTACTTAGATAGTCACTTAGAAACTATTACTATTCATTCTTATGGATTTTGCTCTACATTGATTGGTGTATATATCTGTATATATATAAATATATAAATATATGTAGTTATATGTAAAATGAAAGAAGCTTAAGTGCCGGTATACTATAAGGTGATATAATAAATAATGTAATTCGATCTTTGATCTGTATCAATTTAGTAATTATGTGGTGTTTTCCTTCTTCACTTTTTTTTCTTTCTTTTGTTCTCTTATTGCTGACTTATGATTAAATCTGATATACAGATATAAATATACATATATAATATATATACATATGTATATGTGTACATGAATCAGCAGGACTGGCAACCTTGAAGGAATCTTAGAGAGTTTGGTAACGATATGTCACCATTTTATTGCTAGACGTTATTTTGCTTCTGTTTTTTTTCTACTGGTGAGAAGTGTTACGTTGTGATGATGTTGTCTTGAAGAAGAAAACGACATAAGAATAAACGGTGGTTAATGACACTCTTTCGGGTGCAATAACAACAACAACATTAATAGCCTTTTGAAGGGTAGAGAGAAAATCTCAAATACAAATCTTGTCATTGAAATGCAAGGTAGCTGTAGTAACGTTTTTTAAATGAGACAACAAGCGTGGAGATCGTACAAAAAGACAATATCTTGATTTTTTTTGTTTATCTATACATTCAATGTACATCGATCAATCGATCGATCGATCAGAGCAACTGTTGCTCGCTAGTTTTCGATGATTGACACACAAACCGCAATCGATTGATGTGTCAAAAAAAAACCGCTAGAGTCTGATAGGAAAGAGAAGAAAGCTTGCCACATATATGGATATATAAATATGCCTAGTTCTTCTCTTATAGCATTTAATCTTAATCAAGATTATGTCACCTTGATAAGACATATTCACATCATATTTTTGGAAGAAGTTTTATTCTCTTGAGAGAGAACGTGCTTTTTTTTTGCTTGGTTTTGATTGATTTCTACTAACTTAATAATCTTGCTTTTCTTATACTTCATAATAATATAAAAGATAATGAAAAAATATTTCAAAGAATAATATTCCCATAAAAAAGCGATTCTCAGGCATTCGAATGTCTCGACATTTAGTTTATTTATCTGTTATCTTCTAAGACAATGTTTTTTGGTATGCCTGCATATACACACACACACGCACACTTTCCCTCGACAAAATGAGGGTGTCAGAATGAAGGCTATTGCTAAATAGAAACGATAAACTCTTGTTGTCTGGAATGACAAACAAGATAAAACCTTGCCATCAATGTTGTTGGTGATTGTATACAGAAGATGATTCACATATAAAAAAAAAGATTCTTCAATGGTTTCGATTGACGATATAAAAATCAATTAGAGTGATGTCAGTTTACTTGTATTATGTAATAAAATGTATGCACAAGCACTTGATAAGAGGCGTGTCTACGCGTATATATAAGTGTAAATTTATGAATTTTCATTACTTGGCATGCACATTCACATAAATGCTCATAAAAACTGATTTTCATCTTCAGGGACGAAGTTGTCAAATGCTTTGATCTGCTTCCGTCTTATGTATTTACTTTTTTTCTTTTATTGAATACGTATGTGTATGTGTTCCTTCTTTCTTTTTTTTCTAAGGTTCTTTTACTTCGAATAGTCAGTTAATATGTTCATTCGTGTGCATCTACTGTACAATTTTCAACGACCTCCACATGCAATAAATGTCTTTTTTTTGTATGCATGCATTTGATAGTTATATGAGACGTTACTACAAACCTACGTTACGCCTCGAAATAAACGGTTTCGAGTGGCAAAATATATCTTTTTTTTTTCTCTCTCTCTCTCTCTCGCTCACTTTTTTTCTCTATTTTACACAAAGGTCAAATAAATCTGAATTACATCTGTCTCCAAAAACGCAGCACTTGATGGTAACCTTCAAGAGGAAAAGTGTTTGCTAATGCTGTCGCCGAGATAACATATGTACACATTGACAAGTAGATACATGATTACGTTGCACATAAAAAAAAAGAATGCAAGTTTATTATTTAAGTCCAAAGTGAGAGAAAAACAAGAGATGACCTTTGTACGATATACAGAAACGTTATGAGAACATGAAAAAAAATTCGATCTCATCTACATTAACTATCTTTCTCATCTTTTTTTTCTTTTCTCTCGTTTTTTATTTTGTGAAACAGAACACTTGCTACGAAAGATAACAAACGACTGATCTTTGCGGGCAGAAGTCAGTCGCTATCCGACACGCTGTTGCAAATGTCCGCGCAATACAAATAAATAATCATTAGAGATCTGTAAGATAGTCAAGGCACCGTTATCGCTAGTATTACCAATAGAACAGACAATTGCCTAGAAATCAATTCATAAAAAAAAATATCATCTTTCACGCTTTCTAATCCGTCTATTCGATAAAGCCATATAAAATATCGAAGGACAAAATACTCAAGTACACCTATTTGTTCTAATAAACTGTATACATATTTATTTACTGTCAATGTAATTCATATATATATATATAGGAAAAAAAACAGCTTTTTCATTGACGTCTTTAACTATCTGTAAATATCTAAACGATCACACATATGCAAATATGCAGTAGACAGAGTGGTTTTTTTTCTCATCAATAACATGAATAATGAAAAAAAAAGAACGATTCAACAGGACTAATGCGCAAGCAAACGCAATCAGGCGAAATAAAAGAAAACATTGCATATGCATATATTTCTAACAACGATAAAGAATATTGTATAAAAATGTGTACGCGTTTATTTCATGGGGACAAGGTTAAACATGATTAATGATCATTACTGTCAATGTATATATATATGCCTATTCTAATGAAACACTAACATACAAAAGTTGTTAACATGCGAAGATTTATAAATCTATATGTATACATATAAACAAATCGACTAGGCATTACTGATCGATTTCTCTTGCTAATGTATTATACCAAATGTTTTATTTAGATAAAAATCGTTTATATGATAGAAAAACTGAATAACATTGCATAATATAACTTTGTTTTTTTTTTTTTATCAATAGTTAATAAGAAGATTAAGTGTATTTTTGGCACAAGACATATATTATATTAATTAATTTTTCTTTAGACACGGCCGAACAAGAACAGTTTACCTATGAAATTGTCATTCCCCGATCGTTACGATCATCAAAATCATTCTCATTCGTGCCTGATTGGAAAGCTCGACTAAGAGATAACGATAAAACATATCTTACATCAGCTATAC